AGGTTCTGTGTGTTGGGAGCTTCCAATTTTTTACCTGTTTCTCTTTTGGTTCAGCACTTACCTGTTTGTTATCCCTTTTGTGAACCATAATGTTTTTTTTCTCAATTTTCGAAGTGATATCTTTATCGACCTATTTCTGAACTTAGATTTGGATTTCAAGTTCAGGTAAATGCTTGGTGTACCCCAAATGTCTACCATCCCCTCCTTGTCTACAAAAATAGGCAAGAAAATTCAAAAAAAAATAAGTAAATAAAAATTAAATAAAAAAGAGTGGTTATGGAGGGGTTGGGGGACATTTGGGGTACACCTTTGGTGTACCCCTAGCATCTCCCTAGTATATACTCCGTACTACGTACTCCGTATTATGTAGTACTCCATAGGAAAGAGAATCTCCAATGGTACATTTGACTTAGATTTGGATTTCAAGTTCAAGTTTAGTATATATGAAAATGCTAGGGGTACACCAAAAGGTGTACCTCAAATGTCCTCCACCCCTTCCTTGTCCACAAAAAATAGGCAAGAAAATTCAAAAAAAAAAGTAAATAAAAATGAATGGTTATGGAGGGGGTGGGGGACATTTGGGGTACACCTAGCATCTCCCTAGTATATACTCCATATTATGTAGTACTCCATAGGAAAGAGAATCTCCAATGGTGTCATCAAACCATTATTCAGTATTTGAAATGGATACATACTAATATTTAAATTAATGTGAATGAAATGTTGGATGGAGAGATGATGTAAAATATTTGAAACTTTAAACACCATCCATGATGACAAATGACTCCACGCTAAATTATTAAAAAAATATAATTTTTTTCCTTTTGAACATATTTGGACACATTATATTAAGTATAATAATAATAATAATAGTAATAATATAATAGTAATAGTAATAATAATTTATTAAATTTAATGTGGTGGCTGTATTTCTATTAATGTAATGTCTTTTTATTATTTAAGAATATGGTTATTTTTTTATATTGTTTTGGTAAAAAATTATAAATTTTATTTAATAATTTTAATGTTATTGAATTTGTATTTATATTAATTTTTTCAATTTATATTTCCTAATTGAATTCTTCTAAATATAATGTATTGAATTTAATATTTTTTTTGTAATTTTTATTCATCAATAATGATATAGTAATAAAGAATTATTATTATTTTATAATGTAATACAGAGTGTGACTTATTTAAAATAATGAATAAAGTAAAGTTTGAAACTTGAAATCATGAATAATTGAATGAATTGATGAGTGGATGAGATGTGTTGCGAATGTTTGTTTAAAAAATCAAGTATTTAAAGATCAATAAGGTAGAAATTATATGGGTGAAAAAGAGTGATTGGATCCATAAATTTTTAATTAAGAAATGGAGGTGTTCTCATGTTCTTAGACAAATGAAATGCTACTTTAATAAGAAAAGGATGAGCCACATCTTCAAGGGCTTCTTCAAACTCGACTAGACAATTACTTAGAGAAAATATATTGGACTTTGATTGTAGATTAGTGACAAAAAATGAAATATACACCTGATATGTAGTTGACAGAAATCAAACTCAAATCTTACCCACTTGATACTTTTTGTCTTTGGCAACGCCTCATCAAATGCTATTTTAATTATCATACCCCGCATCTATCCCGGGGGGGCTCTGAATGAGAATAAAGAACGGGTAAAAAATGAATGGCGTCGCTCCTTTTTTGTTCACTTTTTAAAATAAAACAAAAACTGAAAAGCAACTTGTTTTATTGGCCAAAATCTAATAGCAAACCCATGCGTGGTATAGTAATTCATTCTACTTTTATAAGGCAAAAAAGTTTCCTCCTATGTGTTTGACTGACTTGACTCAAGTCTATGAAAAATAAGGACACTTTGGACGATTATTAATATGCATGTACCCCTTTTTCTCAATCAATTTATTTTGTTTGTTTTTTTCGAGTCAAATAAGATTATTTTAATTATTAATTACTGTCAATTTATATTACTCCATCCGTCCTAAAATTAATTTCTCAGTTTGACTTTTGCAGTCAAACTTTTTAAACTTTGACCGTATATTACGGAAAAAATATATTGAATTTTTATATAAATTTATTGTCAATAGATTCATTTTGAAACATAGTTTTGAAATATGTTATTTTTGTAATATATATTCATATAAAAATGGAGATATTAATGGTCAAAGTGTCGCATTGGAGACCGTGAAAATTCAAATGAGAAGTTAATTTTAGGACGGAGGGAGTATATATTAGTAAAATGAAATAAGATTTTAAAATTACCTACAAGAAAAATACACAACGAATGTTGAGTGAGATTCTTTTAAAATTCAAATAGGTCAAGTGAACGCAAAACATCATTTGCTCGGGGCATTGGGGTGTTCAATTTTTATTCATGAAATGATGTACTGTACGTAATGGAAATTTTATGCTACAACCATACATAGACGAATACTTTATATATCCATATTACTCCATACGTATTAATGAGTAATTTCTATAGTGGACCTTAGGTCTATATGACTTATATATTAGCAAAACAAGTATTTCTTTATTACTTAAATAAATAGTTGTTTTTTTAAATAAAAAATAAAATTGTTTTTTATGTGAGAAAGTCCACGAATTTGATATGCACCCAAGGTGCACCGAAAAACACTCTTCATTTTGATATACAATGCAGGTAAAATTGTAAATTTAGTGATCACTATAATTATAATTAATAGTTTCAATTTAAAGTAAAGTCCCATTGCCTATCTTGCTTTGGCTCTAAGAGAAACTTTTGAAAATTATTTAGAGTAAAGACACTTTGCCTTGCTTTGGCTCTAAGGAAAAACTTTTGGAAAAATTTTCAGTCCATATCATATGAAGACCCTTTTTCTAGTGAAAATAGCCAAATAGGGGAAGCAAATTAAATAGTCCACCCCTACCCCTCCTGCAAAAGTGCATAAGTTTTCACCCATATATTTCTTTGTCACTAATAATTCAGTTACAATGTATTCCTAAAATATTCAGTTACAATGCAAAAGTTTTCACCCATATATATTCATATTTTATATTTAAAATGTATTCCTAAAATAATTCATTCCAATAAAGTGTTTCTTGAAATTAGTCTTCAATATGTTGTATGGAGTAATTACTTACTTGGTACTTTATACTTGGTATTTATTCTTTCGATAGTTTTCCATCAAAAACTAAAAACATCTGTTTTAAAATTGTTAAGTGAGAAATATATTTGTATTTTTGATCATCTAAATTTAGAATAAGTCATCAAATGCCATTTTCTATTAAGTATTTCCCCAAAATAATCTTTTTAAATGTGATATATTTAATGGAATTTTTTAATGCTACATGGACTTGTTCACATTTCAAATAAATTATGTTTTTTGGACAGTCTCAATAGTTTATGTAAAATTTATGATTTGTTTTAATTTTACATTGAGTTGTATAAAATAACTTTTTTTTTGAAATTCCTAAAGAGTACAGGGACAATTTTTTTGGAAAATATATTCTTTTATCTAATTGATTTTTTATCATGTATTTTTAAAGTATTATTTGATGTCATAATTAGTTTTTTTATTTTACAATTTTTAAAATTATTTTAGTCTGATTATAATACATTACTGATGTTGGGGTAATTTAAAGACTTTAATAATCTAAAAAGAATCTTTGTGCTAAGGAATAGAATGTATCAAAATCTATACAACTAAATGTAAAATTAGTATAACCTATAGATTTTACACATTAAATTGATTATTAAAAATCTATACAGCTCCATCTAGAATTAAAAAAACCATTAAATATAATCTCTTAATTGAAAATGATTATTTCGGAAAGAAGCTTAATTTCAAAAAATTATGTTGACAATTTACTTTAAATTTTAATGATTGAAAGTACTAAAATACGACCCACTTAACAACCATATAACGGAGAACTACTGAAAAAATCAATTTCAAATATAAAACACCACACAAGTAATTTTTACTTATTGATGAGTGATTTGAGAAAAACACTTTATTAAAAAAGATTACTCTAGAAAATCATTCTGATTTTTGTCACCAGATTTCAATTGTTTCAAAATAATTTTTCCATGATCCATTAACATTTCTCTCTTTTTAAATAAAGAGTGTTGGGTGCTTCTATGGTGTACATTGGGTGCATACCATTTTTGTGGACATTCTTGCATAGTTTTTTTTTTTACATTAAGAAAATAAATGCTTATTTAAGTAATTGAGATATATTTATTTTGTTCATATGTAGGTCTACCATAAAATTTGCTTCAACCATGAGCCTAAGATGTGTACATATATATAATAATGCATTAAACTTCACATATAAGCAAATATAGAAACAATTTAATTAAATTAATGTTTATCACAATATTATGACAATGCTTTTGTATCTATTAAGAAGGTTCATCAATTCTTAGACAAACGATAGGCTTATTTAAGAACTTTTAACCACTAATTTATACTAGCTCTTTCTCGAAAAAATTTGCCGGTTTTGACTTTTGGAATAAAAAATTGTAGAAATTGGACTACGGTAAAACGATAATAACTAAAAAGAATGAGTCGAGAAATGTCAAAATAGATATGGTGTAGAAGGTGATTAAGATAGATTCGGTTATATTTTAGAAAAGTAAAGACAATCGTTTCTGTTTATCTCAAATTAAAATGTTTTATGAGACAAGTAAGATGTAAAAGTTGAAAAGTTTTACAGGACATAAAATATAATTTTCTACCTAATTTTATCACTTTTTAAAATATTTGTGCAGTCCAAATATAAAAATTAAATTGTGAGGGTAATTGTACATGGTATTTTGGAAGAAGAAAATCTCTATCTATATATAGAGTAAAATAAATCTCATTTTGACAATAAAATTTAATGTCAAAATATGATACTTTATATTTTACACAGATATCTTTATGACGCAAAATATAGGACCTGTTTGAGAATAACATTAGAGATTACTGTTACGTAGTAATATTTTAAAATGACTATCTACAGATAGCCTTTAGTGTTAGCGTTTTCAAAATTAATTTGCATCCTTAAAATTTTATTTAATGGAAAACACTGTTCCTGTGGAAAGCCGTGCGGGAAGGTGAGAATGGGGAACCAAAATGGGTGGTGGGGGCGGCGTAAGCTGCAACCGTGCAATTGGTGGGAAAAGCCCGGCGGGGTTCGTTATATATTCGAAAATTTGAAAAAAGCATCAATCTTTCCTGCTTTCCAATAACCCTAGCTAAAAGCAGCTCCACAATAATTTCACAGGCCTTTGGATTCCAATTTTTCTCGGGATTCTTCTCCCCTCCGCCGGAAAAAGCCGAGCTCGCGGCCGCGCATCACCGAGCTTTGTCCTGCTTCCCGCTTCTTCGCCCTCAGCCGCACCGTGAGTTCAAAGCCTCGCATGCTTTTGATTGGATTTTTGTAGTCATTTCCAACGATTTTTCTCGAACCCTAGAAGTCTAGGGAGTAATTTTGTTTTTTTTACTTATCTGCCTGAAATAATATAGTGCCATTTGTATCGTGGATTTTGCTGTGTGAACATTGAGCACACTGTTGTCTTTCTAGCTGCATAGCTGCCATATTCGGGCACTATTTTGGATCGCTGGTTATTTGGATTGTTATTTGACTGCACGAGCTTGGTTTTTCCGCATTTTATGTTTTGTGAATTGTGATGCTTTCGTTTAGATTCCTTGCTATGGTTTTAGCCTTTAGTTGTGTCATTTTGGATTCTATTTTTCTGCAGAAATATTTTGAGGTTGGAGTCAAGTACCTGGTGAAAGTTGATTTTTCTGCAAAAAAATCTATTTAGAAGATTTTTTGGGTTATATATTGAGGTAAACTTGATTTTGGTTCACAAATTATAATGATTTGCAGTTAAAAGTAACAAAAGGGTCAGTTTCTGAGCCTTTTTTTGTATGCTAAAACTGATTGACTGTCGAACTGGTTTGGCTTTCAGTGACAGCATTGGAGTTCAAAGGTTAAGAGATGGAAGCTGATGGGAATGGTGTTCTGAAAACACCACTGCTGCAGGATCCGGATGACGTGAGAATCACTATTCATCCGACAAATGCTGATACTTATAAGAAAGTTAGGACTCTCACATTCAAAATAGGCGGCATAACGTGTGCATCTTGTGCTACATCGATAGAAACTGCAGTGGGAGGGCTAGATGGGGTTCAAAGCATTATGGTGTCTCCTCTCCAAGGCCACGCTGTTGTTAAATTTGTTCCAGAACTTATCAGTGTATGCCTTGTTTAATACGGAGTTGTAGTATAGTACTATACTTTTGTTTTCCTTTATTTTTTCCATCCAAAAAAGATGAGTGTTTCTGAATCTGGAAAGTTTTATGCAGCTCACACTGTTTTTCTCTTTTCTGCATAAATTTCAACCATAAAATTTTCTCCACTCTCCACATAAATTTCAACCACGGAGAGAATATCAAATAGCATTTAGAGTTAGGATTATACTGGATTTGTTGTTTTGTGATAAGTAATTGAAATTTCATTTAGACGCCTTCATCAACTTGCTCAGCGTTTGTTCATTGATTTGGAATACCAGTTTGGTCAAGAACAAGCCAATTTAGTTTTTATGTATGGTTGTAGCATGCATAGTATTTCATACCAGAATCAGCTCCTAAGGGTTATAACTCTTCTTCTTCTTCTTCTCCTTTTCTTATCTTGATTATGATACTGTAAAACTCAATCCGAATGTGTACTAGAGGTTTATCGTTTTGCATGTGTAGGCTTTTCCTAAACTTTACTTCCTAAGAAATTAGTCAAGAATATTAAGCTTTTTTAACACTGTCATGTGTTTGAATGGACAAAGTGTTGGTTCACGAGATATCATAAGGTTCATGTTCTTATAATTATATTTAGTCCGCAGTGAAAGTATCTAACTTTTTCATTCTATTTCAGGCAATGAAGATAAAAGAAGCCGTGGAAGATGCGGGCTTTGAGGTTAATGAGTTTCCTGAAGATAATGCTGTATGTCGGATCAGAATTAAAGGAATGGCTTGCACAAGCTGTTCCGAATCTGTTGAGCGAGCACTTTCAACGGCTGAAGGAGTAAAGAAAGCTGTTGTTGGTTTAGCTCTTGAAGAAGCTAAAGTCCACTATGATCCAAACCTTACCGACACTAACCATATCGTTGAGATAATAGAAGAAGCTGGCTTTGGAGCTGAACTGATAAGCTCATGCAGCGATTCAAGTAAAATACATTTTAAAGTAGAAGGAGTTGATGCTCTGGATCAGTGGAGTGAAGTTAAACTTTCACTTGAGTCTTCGGAAGGTGTAAGTCAAGTTGAAATTGACTTTCAAGAGCATGTACTGACAATTAATTATGAACCGGATACAATTGGTCCTCGAACTCTTATTCAGTGCATCAAAGATTCTGGTCATGGAGGTGATTCTTATCATGTGAGCCTGTACACTCCACCCAGGGGGCGTGAAACAGAGAGAGAACGTGAAACCCAAATGTATAAGAATCTATTTCTATATAGCTGCATATTTTCAGTTCCCATATTTGTTTCCTCTATGGTGCTTCCAATGGTTCCACCCTATGGGAATTGGTTAGACTATAAAGTTGTCAATATGCTCACAGTTGGGGTACTTCTAAGATGGGTTCTTTGCACTCCCGTGCAGTTTATAATTGGCCGAAGGTATGCTTTGTTGTTTTAATTTTTATTCTTCAGAAGACCTTGTGTATTCTGCTATTTTTTCTGTCTTCTACTATGTAAACAACAGATAAGTTTAGAGATAAATTTGATTTTTTTTGAAGGTTTTATGTGGGATCATATCATGCACTTAAGCGACAGTCTTCAAATATGGATGTTCTAGTGGCATTGGGCACCAACGCTGCATACTTCTATTCTGTATACATAATGATAAAAGCTTTGACTTCACATTCATTTGAGGGACAAGATTTCTTCGAGACCAGTGCCATGTTGATTTCCTTTATTCTTTTGGGAAAATATCTTGAGGTTCTGGCCAAAGGGAAGACATCTGATGCTTTGGCAAAGCTAACTGACCTTGCTCCTGAAACAGCCTACCTATTGACACTGGATGGAGCTGGAAATGTCATATCGGAAATTGAAATGAGTACTCAGCTAATACAGAAGGGCGACATACTTAAAATTGTCCCAGGTGCAAAGGTTCCTGTTGATGGCATAGTTATTAATGGTCAGAGTCATGTGAACGAGAGTATGGTCACAGGAGAAGCAAGACCAGTTGATAAAAAAATTGGTGATAAGGTGTGTGCAGTTATACATAGTTCATATTCATTGGATTATATTAGTCATGGATAAAAGATACAGCAAATTGTGCTTTTTTTTTGTTTTTCTGTATGAAACTAATATTGTAACTGTTAGGTGATTGGTGGAACTGTGAATGAGAATGGATGCATATTGATTAAGGCCACTCATGTTGGTTCTGAGACTGCTCTTTCACAAATTGTCCAATTAGTTGAAGCTGCACAGCTTGCAAGAGCACCTGTTCAAAAGCTGGCTGATCAGATATCGAGATTTTTTGTTCCTACGGTGTGTTTTTATGTAATACAAATCGGACTCATATTGTAAGAATGTGATTATAGGAATAAATTATTGACAAGCTAGTCGTCCCAAGAGTCTTGAGGACATGCAGAGTGGTAAATCTTCATGCAATATCACCTTAATAGGAAAGGGAACATGTATATCAGTTTATTTCCCTTTCTCCTCGGACCATTTGCTTGATTCGGATATTGTTATGTAGACATTTACCTAAAGTGTTGGTTGAATCTTCAATATCTTTAGTTTTAATTAAATTCATTTCCACATCTCCTTTTGATGACTTGAATCAAGGATTTTCCTGCCAGTGGAGGCACATATTGGCCAGTTAGCTATTCTTTGGTTTGAAGAATAATACTCAATAATTATTTTTCAAAGGCCATTCAGATGCTGAAGGTAATTTGTGTAACACCTTATCAGGTTGTTGTAGCGGCATTTGTGACATGGGTGGCATGGTTTATCCCCGGAGCATTGGGTTTGTATTCCAAAAGCTGGATACCAGAAGGCATGGATGCATTTGAGCTTGCATTGCAATTCGGTATATCCGTGTTGGTGGTTGCATGCCCGTGTGCTCTTGGATTGGCTACTCCCACTGCAGTAATGGTTGCCACAGGAAAAGGGGCCTCTCAAGGTGTTCTTATCAAGGGTGGAAGTGCTCTTGAGAAAGCACATAAGGTATGCAAACTTTACATTGTGTCTACAGCCTGATAAATGGCTAGTTGCTGTTGAATGGCACTAAATTTTGAGCGCTTCAAATTAAATCAAATGTTCTGTGTAAAGATAGCGAGGTCTGTTGTGTAATACTGCTAAATTAAAATAAAATTACTGTTAAATAAACATCACCATCGGTTATCAATGTGTCTATAAAATTACTGCTAAATAAATAGAAAACTTCTATTGAAAATGAAAAGCAGTGAATTTGTTTTCGTGGCGTAAAAGTCTCAAGGTACGTGTTAATGGTTTTTGCAGATAAAGATGGTGGTCTTTGATAAGACTGGAACATTGACAGTTGGAAAACCTGCTGTGGTTAGTGTTGTGCTTTTCGCCGGTTTTTCTATGGAGGAGTTGTGTGATTTAACTATAGCTACGGAGGTAGGTCTTTTGCATCATCATTATCTTCTTCAGAACCTTTATCTTAACTAGTTGGGGTCAACGCCATGAATTTTTTTGTGTCAAATTAATTATCTATGTTTAGTTAACTCTACAAATTATTGCAAGAAAACCATATGTTTTACTCGTACTATTTTTGTTTTGTTTTGTTTTTTTGGATAAGAAAAAACTTGGTATGGTTTTCAAGAAGGGTACAAATTACGAGTCCTAAGGCTCGCATTTTTGCCTGAGAATCCGTAATTAATTGAAACTGTAATTATGGTGTCATCAACTTTGTTAGGGCTGGTGACATGGAGCTTAACATGTCAATCAATTGTCTAAAACTATTAACGCTACATTTTCATGCAAAGAAACACAAATTTTCGTGTGAGTTCAAATAATTCATATATGTAAATGTAAAAGTTTTCAATCTTCAGATGAATAGTGAACATCCGATAGCAAAAGCCATAGTGGAGCACGCAAAGAGCGTACGCCAAAAATGTGGGACCCGAAATGGACGCTTTCCGGATGTTCATGACTTTGAGGTGCACTTAGGAGCTGGAGTCAGTGGAAGAGTGGGAGACAGAAAAGTTTTAGTTGGAAACAAGAGGCTCATGTGCTCTTTTCATGTTCCGGTTGGGAATGAGGTTGAGAAATACATTTCTGAGAACGAGCAGCTTGCTCGTACATGTGTGTTGGTTGCCATTGATGGAAGAGTAGCTGGAGCCTTTGCTGTAACTGATCCAGTTAAGCCCGAGGCTTCCCGTGTCGTATCTTTTCTCCAATCAATGAAGATCACAAGCGTCATGGTGACCGGTGATAACTGGGCAACTGCTAATGCTATAGCAAAGGAAGTTGGAATCCAGCATGTGTTTGCTGAGACTGATCCCTTGGGAAAGGCAGATAAAATCAGGGAGTTGCAGGTATGCTTTTGCCCATCTTGACTCTTTTTTTAGTCAAACTGAATAAACGCTGATTTTGCATCATCTCCGATGGAGCCAAAATTTCACCATTTTTTGGCTTTGGGGTGTGATGGAATAAAGCAAAATGGATCTCTAAACTGTCTGCGCTTCTTTAATTAATGAAGTAGCAGTTAGTCAAGCAATGCAACTTTTGACGTTGAGCCGGGGTCTCTTTGGAAACAGCCTCTCTACTTTCGAGTAGGGGTAAGGTCTGCGTACACACACCCTCCCCAGACCATACTCTTGTGGGATTTAACTGGGTTGTTGTTGTTGAATAAACGCTGATCCATTAATTAAAACCTGCATTGCATATTTGTACAATGAATTCTTTTTATGAAAGTTCTTTGCACAATAAATTCAGTGAAATCATTTTGTATTAGTATGCATTTATGCAATACCATTTTTATACCAACCCCTATGCAGTTAAGAGGTGGTGGCGTGGCAATGGTGGGGGATGGCATAAACGACTCCCCGGCATTAGTTGCAGCGGATGTTGGCATGGCAATCGGCGCAGGCACAGATGTAGCCATTGAAGCTGCTGACGTGGTTCTCATCAAGAACAATCTAGAAGACGTGATCACGGCCATAGACCTTTCCAGAAAGACAATGTCCCGCATCAGGCTCAACTACGTGTGGGCACTGGGGTACAATGTCCTTGGCATGCCTGTGGCGGCGGGTGTGCTGTACCCCTTCGCCGGAATCCGGTTGCCGCCTTGGCTTGCTGGTGCATGCATGGCTGCGTCGTCTATCAGCGTCGTTTCTTCCTCTCTGCTTCTGCAGTCCTACAAGAAGCCTCTTTCTATTCAAGGTTGAGTGCGTCGTCCACCACTAATTTGTACATGGCATTATATGATACCGAGGACACTCCCTTCGTTCTTAAACAACGGTCTATTATAACTTTTTTACACACATGAATGTGGACACACTGTATGTCCTTGTTCATTCAAATTAATGAACGGATGGAGTAATATACTATCTCGGTTTTCGGCTCACAACTACGGGTGGGCGAACAAGAACCAAATGAAGGTACATTTCTAATCCGTGACTACATATACAAACTCGGTTTTCGGCTCGAGATTCCATTACTTGAATGAGAAACATGGTCTTCTCAACACTAAACAAGAAACTCTCTAATGAGAGTAGAAATGAGTTTTAAATAAAGCTCTAATAGAGGATGAATATTGTAACTAAAAAAAATAACATAAAAAGAGGTTTAATAAAAATGCGAACACTAGATATTGGAAGTATGAAAGGCCTGTAAGATTGAGAGAATTTTGTAATTACGAATTGACGGGGTTTAAACCGTTTAAATAGGCTCATGAAAAAATGATATTTGCAAGATATTAAGTCTTAAAAATAAGTATGTTTGATTTGATTTTATTGTGTGTAGTTTAAAATTGTTAGTGATCTGATCGAATTCCAATAAAAATAAGTAATAAGTTAAGAAAATAGGGTTTAAAATGATGAGCTTACTCGATTATTGCTATGTTCTTTTGGGTTGTAGTTTTAGAAGTAGATGTTGAAATAAACTGAAATTAGTAGAAAAAAACTGCAAAGAGTGGGAAAATACTAGAATTATTAAAGGGTTAAAAAGTCATTCAATTAAATGTACATCCAAATAAATATGTAAGAAAATTTTAATTTTGGATAAAAAATAATTCATCATTTTCTGTATTTGAGGTGATATACAATAGATTTGAATGTATAATGTTATTGAATATTAATCATATATAAGTACCTTTACTTGAAAGAGTTGAAAAAAGTTAGAAGTTAATATTTTCAATCCAAATAAACATGACCTAAGAATATTTAAAATGTAGTCTTGTAAAGCGTAAAATCTTAATTCTGTTGTTAAATACTCTCTCCGTCCCGGAGTATTCGTTCAGTTTTGACTTTTGGAACTGTTCA